CCGGCTGGTCCACTTTGCTTTTATGCACTCACTGTGATCAGGTGGCTAAATCCAATAGCTAGAACCCTAAACCCATATATCATTCAAAAGCCATGATTGAGAGCTTTTTAATAATACATACATTACTTAGGTAATTCTTGTTATGCTGGTCAATATTCACATATTAATCCACTATACTCATTGGGACAGTTTTGTTGCTGATATTAAGGCTATCAGAAACTAGTGTGAAGTGTATCCTCCTTTGGCCTTGATGACCTCATGAATCCTCCTAGACATATTTTCAATCAATACCTGACACTCATCCACCCCAATCTCCTCTCATTCTGTCTGCACACAAACCACTGCTTGGGTCATTGTTTTGTTGAAAGAAGAAACCCCATTATCTATTTAGGCACAATGTGCTTTTATAGTGATCTCATAGTTGCTATAGTTCCAAGAAGCTCCTATAGTAATGTTACTATGATGGCATTTAGAGTAGACATAGGCCCCATAGCACCTATGGCAATTATAGCACTTATAGCACACATATAGTAATGCTAATACTATGATAGCATTTGGAGTAGCTATAGCACTTATTTCAATTAGAACATCCATAGTACCTATAGTACTCAAATGAAATGAAAACAGTGCAATCATATTTTGTACTAGCAATTGTACTATATGCAAAAGTAAATAGGAGAGTGACTACAAATACTATCAAGCAGCTTGTGCAATAATAGTATCCTCTAAGGCTTCAAAATCAATACCAAAATCCTTATCCTTCATCTGGTCTTCATCAATCCCTAGATAATGGAGATTGGCCAGATTTTTGTTATAGTAAAATTAGTGTCGGTGGCTTTATCCACACAGGGCTTTTCCTTTGAAGCACCAACAGCTTTTTGAAATAGTACTCCCACCTTTAAATAAAATAAAAACCAAATTTGACATAAATAAATAATATGATATCTGGTTTTGAAAATGCTCTCTGAGAATTCTTGGGTAGCTTTATTACCATTCACATATCCCCTGAGAGAACATTCAATCTGAAAAAAAATGGAATAGATAAATAATACAGACCACAGATTGAGGACATACAGCTGCTGTGGTAATTGCAAGTAGAGCTAAAGGAATGCCTTTGAAATGTTCAGGATAGTGTACTCCCTCACCCTTACACCCATACCATTGATTATGAATCAAGTCCTTGAAAATCTGATGACAAAATGGCTTCTGCTTGTTGAATGTCCTGGCCTTGAAAAAATAGTTCAATTTGGCATAAACACGGGAGAATGATAGCTCACTTTGATATCAAGATCACCATCAGCAAATGCACCAGTCTCTAAAAGCCACGTGACAGCCTGCTTGATTTGAACTGGGGCCATATCACCAGGAATTTGATAAGCACCATTGATTATGATGCACGCTTTTGGCAACAATTTCTTCTCAAACCTGGGCAACAGCAGACCAAACCTAGCAAAAAGATACTTGATTAGTATAACATTATTGGAGGTGGAAATACGTACATAGTCGATAAATATGGTTTTGATTTTTTCCAGTTCAGGCACATATTCTGTGTGAGATAGCAGACATGGGTATTTGTCCACAGTGGTTACCTTCTAAAAGAGGCAGAAATAATGTGTTGCCTTGACCCTCTTGGAACAACAAGTGTTGTTTGGCAGAAGTCCCCTCCAAAGACCATTGTGATGCCTCCAAATGGAAGCTGTGTTAGTTTTGGTGATTCTGCACCTTTGTGCTACCTATATATTTTCATTCCTTTCTATATCTATTCTTCTATCATTCACTATTGATTGTGTTCTCTATTATTTCACCTTTGTGGCTGCTTTGTTTACCTTTGTTTACAAAACTTCGGACAGTACTGCAGAGTCCAATGCTTCCTATTCTCTAGTTACTCACATTGGACTCTAGTTCCAGTCCCTGATTGCTCTCAGCAAGTGGCTAGACACTTCCTTCAAGCTTTGTTCTTAATAGGTTATGAGCCCTGTGCTCTAGCCATCTTTCTGACCTCATATCTCACCATCCAAGCGTCCTACTGCTTATCCATCGTAACCATCGTCTTCTGGGACTCTTATTATCTCATCCATCACCTCAGATTACTCTGATCTCATCTTGATCTCCAACAACAACTCCTTGTTGCAAGTTACCCCCATTTTGGACACTTTTTTGGTCTTATCTGCACCATATCTCGCCCAATCCTTATCTGATCGTCTTGTAACTTCTACCGTCATCTTCTACGACCTAAATAGCCCTAGGAGACCTGTCAGAGCGATTGGATTTGAGCTGGATCTTTCTGTGAGCCTTCATCATCATTTGATCACCTTTTGGCCCCCTATTCCATATCTCCACATCCTGTGCTCAGATCTTGGCCCTATTTAAGCCATCTACTACCCTATACTATTGCACTTTACACCCTCAATTTGGGGGCAATCCATCCACTCCATCATCCTCTGTGAAGTTCGCATTTTTGGCACTTTCACCCCTATTAGACCCCTATTGCATATCTCCACATCCTGTGCTTCACTTCTTGTGATATTTGGGCCATTTATTACTCTACAAAAATGTTCCCTATACCTCTGATTTGGTGGCAATCCATCCATCTTACCTGTCTCTGCATCAATTTCGACTTTTTGCCCTATTTTTCGCTTTTTGGCATATCTGGTGTGTGCATAAAGCTCCAATCTTCTCTACTCTGTCCATTATCAGATAGAACAAGCCTATAGACTGTGAAGCTCGCCTGCATTGCCTCAGTTTGCTGTTGCCTAGAGCCTCTCTCAGTCTGCGGTGTTTGGGGAGCTTAAGTCACTTTGTTGACTCATATATAAGCCCTATTAACCAACACTGTCTCGAGGCGATTTCTCTGTTAATATCAGTGTGGAATTGAAAGGGGAACACAGGTGTAACCCTGTAGCAGCACTAGGAAGCCTTAGCACCCTCCTGGATCGCTTTTGGACGCTTTTTGGACCCTATTTGGACCTATCCTTGCGCTTTCTGACCCTCTCCATATCCTCTCTCTACCGCCTCACCATCTTATCTGCTCGCCTCCTACTGTTGCCCATTGTCTTTGCCACTATTCCATCGCCTATAGCCGTCTCCTACATCATTTATCATTGCTCTATTGTCTTATACAACACCCATCATGTCTGACTCTGATCCCAAGTTCCATCCCTTGTCTGGCACTAACTACCCCCAGTGGAGTGGTGAAATGCAAGCTTGGTTGATGACCAAGGGACTGTGGAGGCTTGTCTCTGGCGCTGAAAAGTGTCCTGGGACTGACGCTGAAGCAATAGAGAAATGGGAGTTGAGAGCTGAAAAGGCTGCTGGTGCATCATACCTCAATGTCACCAAAGAGCAGCGCATCCATCTTGATGGCATCATTGATGATCCTGTCAAGATCTGGGAGAAACTGGCAATTGTGCACGTCTCTAAGAAGCCTGGGACAAGATTTAATGCCTATGACAACTTCTTCTCTATCAGAAAGAAGGAGGACGAGTCCCTGCAGTCTCTCATGACCAGAATTGACGAAGGCATACATCAGATTCAAAATCTTCGTCCTACTGGCTTCTCATTGTCTGAATTGGACGATGAATTGACATGCATGGCCATGATTAGGGCGCTTCCTGATCAATATGCCCACTTCACTTCATCTCTACTACTTCTGGGCACCTTGGACAAGACCCAGCTCAGGGATGCTTTCCTTGCTGAAGAGGTCAATCACCGTCGTCGTGCTGAAGTCAATTCTGCCTTGCATTCTTCGTCTACCACTGCCAATAGCACCTGCACCCATCCTAACTGCCATCATTGCAACCAATCCACCACCTCTACTCGCGTTCAGTGTGATTTCTGTGGTTTACTTGGTCATACCCAAGACAAATGCCACAGATACATTGCTAGTCGCCAACAGGCAGTGGAGGGTGTGAAGAATTGCTACAAGCGTGGAAATAAGGCTCAGGCAGGCTCCAGAAACTCTCAGAATACCTCTCAGCAGCCCAAATCTTTGCCCAACAATGCTAATTCATCTACTGTGGTCACTGAATCAGCTGGAAATGCAAGTCTTCGTTCCATTCATCCCTCTGATCCTCATTGCCCTCTCCAACTTGATGCTGACATTGATTGGAATGCAGACACAGGTGCCACCTCTCATATGACACCTCATCATCATTGGGTGCACCACTATACCCCATATTGTGTGCCAATCAAGCTGGTTGATCACACTGTTGTCTATTCAGCTGGTGTTGGTACTGTGGTGTTTAATCCTGTGATGAATGGCAAAGTGGCTAGGGCTGTGGAATTCTCTAGAGTGCTCCATGTACCAGATCTTCGAAATAATCTCCTCTCAGTCTTGTATTTAACTCGTCAAAGTGGTTTCAATGTCACTATTTCGTCTCATTCCATGTCCTTTATGCGTGACAACACTCTCTTGTTCACTGCAACTATCAATGACAACAATACAGCATTCCTTGATGGATCTACTGCTGCTTGTGTTGAATTGGGACATTTTACTGCGACTATACCACTTGATTTGATGCTCTGGCATCACAGATTGGCTCACCACCATCATGCTGATGTCAAGAGACTGATACAGAGAGATCTGGTCACTGGGCTTACACTGGAATCCAAGGCTGCTCCTGATCCTGTCTGTGAACCGTGCTTGTCTGGCAAGATGCATGCCAATCCATTCCCATCATCTGATACTCGCTCTGCTCATCCTTTGGACCTCATCCATTCTGATGTACACCAAGTCTCTTCCCCCACATTCTCTGGTTATCGCTACTGGGTCACCTTCATTGACGATCACAGTCGATTCCGTGTTGTTGTGCCTCTCAAGGCCAAGTCAGATGTCTTTGATGATTTCAAGAGATTCAAGGCTTATACTGAGACTCAATTGGAGCGTAAAATCAAGGCTCTGCGCAATGACAAAGGGGGAGAGTACATGTCCAAGGAATTTGAGCAATTCACAGATGACCATGGGATTGTCAGACAGCATACCACCAGGAATCATCCTCAGCAGAATGGTGTGGCAGAGCAAGCAAACAGACTTCTGACTGAGCGTATCACTGCCATGTTATCAGAGTCTGCATTGCCTAACAGCTTCTGGGGTGAATGTCTGTCCGCTTTGGTGCATGTCTGGAACAGGTGTCCCACTGATGCAGTGGCCCATGCCACTCTATTTGAGTTGTGGTATGGACGCAAGCCTGACATGTCTCACCTTCGCATTTGGGGCTGCACTGCCTATGTGCATGTGCAAAAGGACAAAAGAGGCGTCTTTGGCTCTCATATGGAGAAATGTGTGTTCATTGGTTACCCTGAGGGGTACAAGGGATCGAAATTCTACAATCCTACCACCAAGTGCACTGTTATCTCTGAGAGAGCTGATTTTGATGAGCGCTACTTCCCTGGCTTGAAGAGGTCTTCTGACAATGTCCCACCTCCACCTCCCACTCCACCTTCGCTATCCATGCCATTGGGCCTGATTGAGGATATCCCTGCACCAGGTCCAGGGGGAGATATGGGCCCACCAGCTGTGCTTCAGCAGCCTCAGCCATTGCCTGACAATGGGCCTCATTTGGACCTTGATGCAAAACCACCTGTGAATCAACCTCCTGAGCTTCCAAATCACCCTCCTCATCGCTCACCTTCTCCTGACTTGCCTATTGCACTGAGATGCCCTGTAAGGGCTAGGAGACCACCTAGACCATGGTGGCTTCAACACAGACAACCTACTCCTGCCATTGAGAGTGATGACAGTGATTCTGAGGCAGTTGATGATGAAGTGGCACACTTTGGAGACTCTGCTGAGCCTAGGTCATTTGCAGATGCAATGAAGTGTCCTGATGCAGATAAATAGAGAGAGGCAGCCATGGAAGAGCTTCAAGCTCATGAGCGCAATGGTACTTGGTCACTAGTGGAACTACCTCCTGGAGTCAATGCTATTGGTGGCAAGTGGGTCTTCAAGATCAAGCGCAACTCAGATGGCACTGTTGAGCGCTACAAGGCCAGATATGTGGCCAAAGGTTATAACCAGCGCCCTGGCTTTGATTTCCTCGAAATATTTGCACCTACTGTCCGCATATCATCCATCAGAGTTGTCCTTGCCATTGCAGCCATCCACAACCTCCATTTGCGCTCCATTGACATTTCCCATGCATTCCTGAATGGAGTCATGGATGTCAAGGTCTACATGCATCAGCCAGAGGGATTCCATCAGGGTCCTCGCAATCTTGTTTGCCAGTTGAGCAAGGCCATCTATGGGACAAAGCAGGGAGGCAGAATGTGGAACCAGAAGATGCACACTGTGCTTGAAAAACTCGGATTCAAGCGTACTTATTCAGACTCTGCCATCTATGTCTTTAACAGAGCTGATGTGCGCATTATCCTGCCTGTCTTTGTTGATGACATGACACTGGCATCCACTTCTACTTCTGCACTTGACCAAGCTGTCAAGGACCTCTCCCTGCACTTTAAGCTTCGTGATCTTGGCCCTACTTCTTATTTACTTGGCATTTCCATCACTAGAGACCTAAGTAATCGCACCATCTCCCTCTCCCAACATCAGTACACTCTGGACATTCTGGAGCGCTTTGGCATGAAGGACTGCAAGCCTGTGTCCACTCCCATGGATCCTGGTTTGCGCCTCACCAAGGACATGTCTCCCAAAACATCCAGTGATGCTGCTTTGATGAAGGACATTCCTTACCTTGCTGCTGTTGGTGCTCTGATGTATCTGGCCACTACCACTCGTCCTGACATTGCCTACACTGTTGGAGTCCTTGCCAGATATAACTCTAATCCTGGTCTTACTCACTGGAGCGCTGTCAAGCACTTGTTCCCCTACTTGCAAGGCACCCTTGATCATTCCCTTGTCCTTGGTCCTGATCCCAATTCCACTGAACTCTTCACCACTTTCTCTGATGCTGATCATGGTGGTGACAAGGACTCTGGTCGTTCTACTGGTGCCTATATTGTCAAGATGGGATCTGGTGCTGTCTCCTGGAGCTTCAAGCTTCAGAACATTGTTGCTCTGTCCACCACTGAAGCAGAATACATTGCTGCTGTTGAGGCTGGCAAAGAGATCTGCTGGATGCGAAATTTGTTGAAGGAAATGGGCTATCCTATCACCTCTCCTTCCACCCTTCATATTGACAACCAATCTGCCATCTCTGTATCCAAGAACCCTGAGCACCATGGTCGGATGAAACACCTTGATCTGCGATGGCATTGGTTGAGAGATGTTGTTGACTCTGGGCAGATTGCTCCTACCTTTGTTCCCACTGCTGAAATGCCTGCAGACTTGTTGACCAAGGCTCTTGCCAAGCCTAAAGTGGAAGTGTTCAGGAAGATGATGGGACTTATTAGATCAGGGGGGAGCTGATGCTTGGGAGGTGCAGCATCAGGGGGGAGTGTTAGTTTTGGTGATTCTGCACCTTTGTGCTACCTATATATTTTCATTCCTTTCTCTATCTATTCTTCTATCATTCACTATTGATTGTGTTCTCTATTATTTCGCCTTTGTGGCTGCTTTGTTTACCTTTGTTTACAAAACTTCGGACAGTACTGCAGAGTCCAATGCTTCCTATTCTCTAGTTACTCACATTGGACTCTAGGTACTGTATACCTGTCATACTCTCTAATAATACAGTTACTCACATTGGACTCTAGTTCCAGTCCCTGATTGCTCTCAGCAAGTGGCTAGACACTTCCTTCAAGCTTTGTTCTTAATAAGCTGATTATCCAAAATGTCCCGCAATGTACAATCCAATGCTTTTAATTCCATGACAGTGTTGCATTGGTGGTTCATCCCAGACAATAACTCCGGTATGTTTCAATACCTCATGGAGGTCAGAGTTTTTTAGAATCCATGTGGGTGCTTCATTCACAGGAATAGGGATTCCAAGGCACAAATGAGCTGTGCGGTCATCCTCCAAGAGTAGGGATGCAATCCCAGAGGATGCTACACATAGAGCAACATTATAATTATCCCTTGCTCAAACAACAGCAGTAATTGTATTACAGAGATATGTTTTCCCCCTACCGGTACCTCCAGCACTGTGAATAAAGGTTGTTCCCCAATTATGATGAATTGACTGCATGATGGTATCAAAAGCATTTTGCTGCTCTTGACCGAGCTGCTCTACATTATCTTTTGAGTAATAATAATACAGTTAAGTGATCAAATTTTACTGAGTCAAAAGTCAGTGAACTTGTGCTGTCTGTTCTTATAAGCGTGAGAATTCTTCAGTGTGGCTACAATTTTCACTGTGTTCACTACTACTGTACTGCTGTTTCTGTATTGCCACAAAAACCACGCAAGCAAAACTAAGCAAAATAAACGATGCAACATGGTTCACACGTGGCATTTGGGACAACCATCCCCTTTATTATAGATAACAATGTCATTCTCGCAAGGTAAGTACATTGTAATTGACGTATTGATTACTTATGTTTTTGATCAAAACAATGTCCTCACTCACAACAAATGGCCTTCCATTCTGATCTTGCTCTGTAGATCTACATTGGACAAACCACAGGAAAACTGGCAATGTGTGCTGTATGACTTTGACCAGTTAGGCAAATGGGCATACATTTCTTCTACAGGCGTCAATCTCAGCAACCACACACAATATCATATTTTATATGGACTTCTACCAACTCCAGATCATATATTGTACCATTATGTTGCGAGTGCAAGGCTTCCTTGGCAAGTGTAATTTATCTCATTACAGCAACTGGACTGGGTGAGTTTTTTTGTGGATTCTGTCATTTTTGCAGTTGATGATAAAATGTGAACAGCGATGCTGATTCCTTGATACACCCCCTGACTGTTGCCTGTTTGGCCTTATTGTACAATGTCCAAACTTTGGGCAACACCCCGTAATTCTTGTCTTATAATAATATTTTTTTTATTCACAAGGCTGCAAATTAATCTTAATTCTTCATGTCTCCCTCTGACACAAAGTGTAAGCTCTTGTTGGACGCTGAAGCAGACCAACCCTCAAAGAAAACAAGGTGAATGAACGGTAAAAATTGTGTTTTTGATATATACTCATTACCAATTCATAGGTTGACCAATGTAACCGGTCACGTACACACAATGTACCTACTGTTCCTCAAGTGTCAGAAGATGCTAACAGAAACAGTGCTCTCAACGGAAACAACAAGCACACAAGCCTTCAAGTAGCTGATAATGTGAACTCCAGCTTGTCCTGTGATATTGTCATTGATCCCACCTTACTGCAAGGTTTGGGTAACAATGTTATACGATATGCTATTCAAAATCAGTGCTATCTGTTGTATGCTCATAACTATAAATGTTACCTGTATTAACAGGATTGTGTCATACTCCAATCAGGCCACAAACAAGTATGCCATCAACAGGTTCCCAACAGAGGGCCTGGAATGGGGAAGCCACGGGAAACTCTTCAACAAGAGCCACATTTTATGTGCAATTAACATCAACAACCCAGCTGTCATTTGGATTGCGGGACTAGTCTCTGGAATCTGGTTTGTTGATAATAATAGCAGTCCAGCTGGGTGAGTAGCATTAAATGTGGTGCCTTTTTCTGTTGATGGCACCAGTGTCACTTGCAAAAGGTTGTCTGGCAGATCAACCACAGCATTAGGTAACTTATTCCTCCACTGTCTGCTCTTCTGTTTGTTCACGGATAAAAAGGAATATCACTGACACTGACTGGAATGCAATCTGGGTAGCCTGATGGCAGAACACCCGAGTGGGAGGTACTGACAATTTTGTGTGTATACTGAAGATGTTATTCCCTCAGGTGTTTATTACTCATTTGGTCCAGCCATTCATGGAAGACTTTGATGCACATGAAGAATTCACAAGCAAGCACAAGATGTCTTCCTACCCTGTAATGGACTTGCAGATCAAAGATGCTGTCCTTGTCAAAGCAGTAATTACTCGATACAAGAAGAAGGACAGATCACCACAGAAGAAAGACACTTCACTGGGCAACTCCCAGAAATGGGTGAACTGAGTAGCAAACTTTGAACTGCAAAGTGTTTCTTTCTTACATAGGTCCACCACTACTGAAGATGACAACAATGTTCCAGAGACTGAAGTCAAAATTTGAGAAGACTCTCTCTTTCACTACTTTTCACAATGACTTTACCAATTCTCAATATTTTTGTGCCCTTTATGACTCATTTTCCTATATTGAAATATGCTACAAACTCCACATACCTATCACGCAATTGTGCATATAAAATTGTCTGTATATTACACAGATATGATGTACTCTACATTGCACGTGAATGATACCTCCCATTTTGCAGCACATTTCAATGCAATGAGTCAGTAGTAGAACACCCCCATCTCCTTCAACCATGGTTCCTCAGTGTAGCTCATTAAACTTGGTCACTCCTTTAAATGAATCAATTAAGGATTGTATTGATCATGTTTGGGCAACAAAACCTTTCAAAAGTACAGTTAAACTACAAACCATGTTGAAAATGCACAATCCGGACTGGATAATAGGAAAAAAAGTGAGCCACCACACCAACTCTCGTGAAGCAACCTCGTGTAAAAATAGTGTATCGACAGATAAAAAAGAGTTGTTGGGAGATATGCTTTATGTGTAGTTGTACATTCTACCAGGAACTGCAATCCTTATCTGATATTGTCAGCTTAATTTGTCCTCTGGCTGTGAAGTGTGATGTGTTCAATCCTCATATCTTGAGCAAAATTGCGGGCACATTTGGGAGCCCTTCATTGCAACCAATCTGTCAATTCTATGACCAAGACAACGGCATTGTGGATTGGTGGTATGAAGTGTTTGCGCCGACAAGCAGCAATCTTGAAGGCCGCATACAAACAGCAAATTTGATATCTGCCTTGCTATAGGGTGTTCCTGGTTATCATCATGAAGAATGCACCTGAAACCAGACTCAGTTCAACACAGGAAAACTTCAATACAAATGATCTGGCACATCCTTTGTGGTGGTATCATGCCAGCAGGAACAGTGTAGCACAAGTGCGCTCCAAACAAGGTCTGCTGCGGATGCTACAGAACTTGTAACACCACTATACTGAGGTGCAAGCAATATGACATCAAATTCCTTCAATCAAAAAGTGCTCCTTGCCAACATCAATGGAACCTCCATAGAAAATATTACAATAAATAACCCATCATATTTTGTGATCAAGTTGCGTATCAGGCTACCGACAAATGCTAAAACACCATTTTATCCCATTCACCAAGCCAGCCAACAATCAACAATGTCTTTATCTTGCAAAGTAAGCTTACACTTTAAAGCAAGGATACCACTGATATCTTGTAATGGGAAACAGAACACAAACCTGAGAGCCTTGCAGTTCACTTCAACCAAAGCATCTCACGTTGAAATAGTATCATTCCAGCAAACCACTGTGCATGCTTTCACACAACCCCATCTCTCGCTTTATTTACCCTTTCTCATTACACCTCTTGTCAAGTATATCCACTTCAGCTCAATTGTCTTTATGGTATAATATGTTGAGGATGCCAGCCACTACCCTACAAACAGTGCATTATGAAAGTTGTGTAAAACATTTTTGTGGCCAGGAGAAATGGTTATATTCAGCCAGAGTCAAGGACACTTTGAAATTCTTGTGAACATGCATCCTGGTGACCGTTATTTACCCATCCGAGGTGTCAGAAGGTATGCTTTGACAAATTCAATGGCCATATGCAGTTCATACTCATAGAATGCTGTTAAACTGGCACAAAGATCATATTTATATGTAAGATGAGATGTACATAATGTCTATGTACTGTACTATTGCGGTGACAATCTAAAATGCAAGCATGCATGGCATGTATTGTGAAGGAATAGGACAGTGTTTCAAGGCAATTGCCACTGATTCAAAATACAACATCCATACAAAGCGAATCAATTGAAAACAAGAATGGCCCTGTAATGTTTCTGCATCTGCACACATTGCAATTAAACTTGAGAACTATGTCTCACCATCAATAGATATCAATTCAGCACTGTAAGTTGTCCTGGCCTGCATCTTTCATGAGCTTACCATGACCAACCACCACACTAGAGGAATGTATGACTGGAACATCAAAGACCGCAAGGACAGCTTATTTCTTCCAGAGAACTTGCCCAATTATACATTCTGCTTTGTTGATGTTGCATGTGTTATACTGTGACATTCATCTGCACTGTGCAGCATTGGCACAGCTTGCATCAGGTCCTTTGCTTTACCCAAGCCGTAAGTTTTGATTGCTGATGTATTGTTGCAGTGGATGTCCAGAATCCCTTCATTGTGGCTCCGTACTTTGCGCATTTGTCAGTGTATGTGGGGTTGTAAGGAGGTTGTTAATGACACTACCACCTTGTGGATGCACGTGATGTGCAAGTATTCATTGTACTGTGGTTGCGGTATCACCATTACATGGTCTAATGCAGATACCTTCCAGGATTGAATGAGAGAATGCTATGTGGTTGACATAGCCTATTTATGCAAGTTGAGCAAGACCATGAGAGTGCACTTCACAGAGATAGATGTTCAAGTACTTGTTGTTGGGAAGTGCTTTTGCATCCCACTAACAGTGATGAGGCAAGTTCTCTGGAAGAAATAAGCTGTCCTTGCGGTCTTTGATGTTCCAGTCATACATTCCTCTAGTGTGGTGGTTGGTCATGGTAAGCTCATGAAAGATGCAGGCCAGGACAACTTACAGTGCTGAATTGGTATCTATTGATGGTGAGACATAGTTCTCAAGTTTAATTGCAATGTGTGCAGATGCAGAAACATTACAGGGCCATTCTTGTTTTCAATTGATTCGCTTTGTATGGATGTTGTATTTTGAATCAGTGGCAATTGCCTTGAAACACTGTCCTATTCCTTCACAATATATGCCATGCATGCTTGCATTTTAGATTGTCACCGCAATAGTACAGTACATAGACATTATGTACATCTCATCTTACATATAAATATGATCTTTGTGCCAGTTTAACAGCATTCTATGAGTATGAACCGCATATGGCCATTGAATTTGTCAAAGCATACCTTCTGACACCTCGGATGGGTAAATTGGATTGACTGACAATGTTACCTAGAATTGAATACCCTAATGTGGTGTCATATCTGTACTGGAGAACAGGACTCCAGCATCTCCAAAGGAGATATTTCCCCAAATCCGAACCTCCCAAATCTTTGGTACTCTTGGGATTATGCTCCTCATGGCCTGCCAGTCAGCATAGCCCCGTGTCCCACCCCCACATGGTACTTCGGACTCCCGTTCCAATACTCCTGCACCAGACTTCTAGTCCATCATATGCTTTTCTATGCATGTTCCCATACTCTTCATGGACTCTATAATTAGACCTTATGATACACTCCTATATGTTTCTGTCTCGCTAGATAATTGTCCACATAGAACTCTGTACCTACATTACAAGTTACTCCTTATGAGCCCCCACTCTTCTGACAGTATATAAGTTGTAGCTCCTGTACTCCGTTTCCGCAGTTCAAATATCAACTAGATTCCCTCGTCTTTTACAAGTCTCTTTCTAAGTTTTCCAATCCTTCTCTGAAGGGCCTTTACTCTGCTCCCTTTCCATCCTCTACTCTCCTCCATCCATTTTCCATTGAGTTAGGGACCAAGGACCACGGAAGGGCCTAGCGCACAAGCTAAGCCAATTCCATTCCCCATCTTGTACTATGTTACCCCCTACTCCATCTCCATACTCTGTAACTCTAAACACTCCGCAGGTCACGGTTCTGACATGTGGCTGTCAAGCTAACATGTCTAAGACATAATTTAAATGCTATTGTATTTTCCTATGACGCGTCCAAACTTAAGGACCACTATCAACACCGTGCTTGTCAAAAGCAAGCTCCAGACTCGGATATATGGCAGGACTGCAATGGGTGGTATGTGTTACAATACACAATGTTTGGACCTTTAAATTTCATTCTCCTTTTTAACTTTCTTCTGTAGTTTTCACACACTGTGCCATGCAGCACTTTTCATTTCGTTCAAACTCCACTTTCTCGCGCTGCGCTGCCTTTTTTCATTTTCAGCTACAAGTATCTCACGCAGTGGAGCTGATCACATGGGCTGTGCCCCATGACATCATCAGCCACTGCCTTCATCAACTATATAGTACACATGTACAAACAACCTGTAGTAGTATATATACCCCAATAAATCAAGGAGAGTCCTCAGCGAGTCCTCCTGTTGTTTACCCACAACTAACTTGGTCCCATCTTAAGGGGTATCCACTTCCACTCACTTCACTACTGCTTGTCTGAGTTGTGCGCCAGAGTATACAAACTGTTGGTTGTTACAGTATGACCGGGAATAATCAGTACGGTATAGACTGCACATGATAAAAAAATTGCACATTGTAAGACAAACTGAATTTCTGGTGTTGACCCATTCTCAACAAGACTCCAACTACACATCACTATAAAATTTTGGGTTTGACCATGCAACACATTTATGACTTGCAGCTGTAGCTGACAATTTTCAAACATCAGCTGGCAATAGAACTCAGACAAAACCAGGTGACTGTCCCGGAGGGCAATGTTATTTATAATAAAATACTAGATTATCTGCCAATTTCACCAACAAACTGTTAGTAGTAATAATCAACCCCCACCACCCCCCTGTGCCTCCATGACCCCTGCAACACACTCCCCCCCTTCATTTTACTGGCAGGAGATATCCAGTTGATTGTTATTGGCTTGCAAAAACTGCTCATTGCCCTTAGTTCTCAGGACACCAACTTCACTCAAACACAGGCCATACAACCTTAGAAGTTACAGTGAGAAAATAGCAAGGAAGAAAATGACTGCCCCAGCTCCAGAGACACAGATAGCTCCAGCAAAAACTCAGAACAAAGTCAAAGTTGTCAACTGCAAGTGAATAGAAGCTGATGGTACCACTGATTCAACTAACTACAGGCATGGATCAGGGCCGTTGAAGTATCGAGGAAAATACAGTAACAAGTGTTAGGGCACCAAAAATGTGATGGCATGCCAATACAAGTGGAAGGAGGTAACTGCACCTCTTTTTTTCAAGTGAGATAATCTATTTGTTGCCTATTCTGACCTTCAGGGCATGGGAATAAGCACAGGAGAAGGATACTTAGGCAAATGAATGCCATAAAATGTAGGTACAAAGCTTCTTACATATATACCAAACAAATATAAATACCATGTGAAAATTAATAATAGCCACAAAAGGCCAATTATAATCACAGAATAAATCTCCGAGGTGAAGCTCCAAAGTTTGCTTATGTAATATAACTTCTACATATCTCCTCAAACAAGAGAGCATAGCATGAAGAATCAAGGAAACAGAAGAAAATAGAAAATATGAAACAAAATTAAAAAAGTGACTAAAAGCCAAAATATACTTCCTCAATCACCAAATTCCTTCCTCTTCTTTTCCCACAACAATTGCCATATTTGCAGATTCTTTTACCTCAGCACTCTTTTCCCGGATTTTTTCTTATCCGGGCAGTTGATTTGGTAATGACCCTTTTTGCCATATGTGAAGCAGGTAATATTTGTGAGTGGAGTTCGAGGTTTTGCAGCCATAGTGGCTGACATAGCTGCACTTTCATTTTGAGGGTGTGGGGAAATAGACAGCTGACACACTTCTTCATTAATAAGACAGGATTTTACCAACTCTTGGCAAGTGGGTGTAGGGGTCAATAGAGGTGGTCTCAGCATTGAGTGACACAATGAAACTGGAGTATGAAATGGGTAAGCCAGTGGTGAGAACAAGGATGATGTCTTTGTCAGTTGCACTATACCCAATTTGGGATAAGCAAAAAGAAGTGTGCTGCACAGCAGTGATCCAGGAATTCATTGATTGGTCATGCTTCTTCGACATTGTGTTGAACTGGCAAACCAATGCCATACAAGTGGCTAGGCCACGTGCCTCATGGATCTTCTCAAGAGCAGACCAAAGCTCAGCGGCATCAGGCTTGGCTTGGTTGGTGGGGATAGCATGGGGGAGTTGGCTGGTTTCAAGTCAAAGGATGATCTCAGTGTGTGCCTCTGCCTGCTGCTTTAGGAAAGCCTTCAACGGCTTCAAGTTGAGACTACCCATTAACCTAGTCTGCAAGCTACTAACAGCCTCCCATAATCCCTTTCTAGTCAGCATTCACCTCATATAGACAGCCCACTCAGCATAATTGCTCTCATTAAGCTTTGCAAAAGATGTGTCTGATGTTATTACTATATATAGTAAGACAGAAATGACAATTTGGATTTGGCCCCAAATGGCAAAAAGGCAGTGACGGCAATGACAACAATAATTATGACACAAGAAGACAATGATATAAGCGAGCACCAATGACGTGGCAACAACGAGATATAGTATAATGATGTAATGTGCTAATTTGTTTGTATTGGATATTTGGACCTTCAGGGCATGGGATAAGCATGGGAGAAGGATACTTGGGCAAATGAGTGCTGTAAAATGTAGATACAAAGCTTCTTATATACCAAACAAATGTAAATACCATGTGAAAATTAATAATAGCCACAAAAGGCCGGTTATAATCACAGAATAAATATTTGGGCAAAGCTCCAAAGTTTGCTTATGTGATATAATTTCTACACTATTTTACCATTGTCACTGTGAAGATCAACTTATATGAGCCCAGCTTATATGCTGAAAATAATAAATTTTAGCTTTTTTCAGCCAATCAGAACACAGATATCCAATATCTTCAGCATATAAGCTGGGCTTATATAAAGATAATCCCCACAGTGTGTGTAGCTCAAAAAAGAATACAATGCTGCCAACTTCTAAAAGGTATCAGGCTTTACTTACTCATAAGAGAAAGGCCTTGATTGGAATCTATCCAACAAGCCTGCTATCAGTGCTTTGATCATGGCGGACCAGTGGGCAATCCTGCAGATGAGGACATGGACAATGGTGATATTTGTGGGTACCTATTAGAAGGGACCATGGACAAAGGTGTGATAGTTGTAAATGCCAATGTTGACCTCAAAATTTATGTGTTACCGGCCCTCACAACTAGAAATCACTAATAATCTTCCCACATTTCCATTGTAATATTGTTGTGCCAGATATTCACTTCCTCACTTTCTTGGGGACACGTTGGTGCTGATGCAAGAAACCCATAATTAGCATCAGTGTTACAACCAAAGTTTTTATACTCTGGTGCACAGAGAGAACAAGCAGAGTAGAGTGAGTGAGAGAGTGAATAAACTCCCCTTAGGTTTAGGACCGAGTTAGTTGAGGGTAAAGAACAGGAGGACTCACTGAGGAGTCTCCTTGATCTATTGGGGTTTATATACTAATACAGAGTATTTGTACATATGCACTATACAGTTACTAAGGGTAGTGGCTGTTGTCACAGGGCACAGCCCTTGTGACCAGTTCCACTACGTGAGAGAGTTGTATCTAAAAGTAATAGAAAGCAGCACAGCACAAGAAAGTAAAGATATAAGTGGAGTTTGAAAATAAAGAAAAGTGCCACAGGGTGCAAGTGTCTAAAAGGGAAAGAAAGTTAAAGTGGAAACTGGAAGTTTAAAAGTCCAAAATTGTGTATTGTAACACTACCTAAGGTTTGACTTCCAGGCGAGACCAAGTACCAGAGGTAGTAGTTAATTTTTTGGGTATTGGTAAAAGGTAACTAAAAAGATTTGAATTCATGACTCTAAACTTCCTAGGAGCCAAGGGATTCTTAGAATAAAATTCATGAACAGCATTGCGGGAACTGTCCAGATGGGCTTCTGGTTACAATGTTCTGTCCTCGTCTCCATAGCCCTTCCAGAGGACCAAGAACTCTAATTCCCTATGGTTCAAGTATGCATCCACTACAACCAGTCCAGGCCAGCCTACGCACTGTCCTGGCAGCGGTCCTTTGTAGGGTTTCATACAGCTGATGTTGACCATGGGTAATACCCTCATTCGCTTTGGGAGTTCTAGCTCCACTGCATGTGGCTTGACTCCCTTAATCCGGTAAGGGCCAATCAACTTTTTGGTCAGTTTTCTAGATTGCTGATCTTTTAACTTTAAGTGGTTGGTATTTAACCAGACAAGGTCTCCAACCTTGTAGTCAGGGGACTTAGAGCATCTACACTCTGCCTTGTCCTTCATCTGCTCTGTAGTTTTGAATAGTGCCTTGTGCGTTTCATCTAGGACAGAATTCATGTCTTTGGCCGGCACGAGAAAGTAAAGATACCAATGGAGTTTGAAATTAAAGGAAAATGCCGCATAGCACAAGAGTCTGAATAAAGATTGAAGTGGAGACTGAAAGTTGAAAGTCCGAAAATGGTGTATTGTAACAGGAGGTACCAGCCCTTTAATCTCTTCCTCAGGTTTCACATCATCATCATCATCATCATCAACCTTATCTAAGGATGTGAGTTTGACATAAACATGACCAGCATTTATCCTTTCCGCAGTTTCAGTTTGATGGACGTGACTCGGCTTACCCAATTCATTACACTCCTGAGGGCAATGTGACAATGTGACAACCCTATCGCCACTTTATCTCAGGATTGTGTTTAAATAGCCAGGTCCAGCCCAAAATTAAGTTAATCTTTCCTAGTTGGGTAGCTTCGGTGGTGACTCATTCTCTGTGTCCTTGGTACTCAACTACAAAAGAACATTTGTGCGTAATGCAGCCACCCATGTTTAGTGTACCATCAACATTATAGACGGGAATAAATACATATAATTCTACAAGGGGGAGTCCATTTTGCTCCGCCCAAACCTGATCTATGAAGATGCTGTTAGCGTCTGAATTAAGCAGTATGGTTGTTGGGTGTACTGTCCCTTGGGCAAGGTCTTACACACCAACATCTAAACAGATCTCTTTTTTGAATAAATATGTGCGCATCAACACAAACCTTGGGGTTTTGGTAGAAAGTGGCTCCAAAGAAGAAAATGAAAAACATGCTTCTACTTTTGTATATTCTATATTTTCAATTTCATTTTTACCCCATTCAAGCACCCTAGTATTTGTCTTGCTGGGGCCGTGCTCCTGGGGAGACACTGGTGCAGCGGTAGTACCATAAATATTACAATCACATTTTTGAAAACAAGTACATACTTTGGATAATAGAAATTTATTTACATATTGGGGAGCCACCCCCTTTCCTTTATTGCTTGTGCTACACCCAGGGGCCACTTTGTTGTGGTTTATATGTTAGAAGTTGAAGGGGTATCTGCTAATGATGCAGGCAAGGCTGTTGATGATCATGCAACTGTTTTCAGTCAGCTTGATGCAGATAGATCATTGGGGGTAAGAACACTTACATTTCCACATTTATTGGTTAAACTCACCTCAGATGGTCCCCCTAGGCCCCTGAACCGTTTGGTGAAGAAAGTCACAACATTGTAATAAGTCTAACTGAAATTCAGCCGCTGCCTAAGAGGCTATAGAAATGACTGATATTATTTACCTAAGAGAGACTACAATAGATATCAGTTTAAAGTGATCTCTAATAAATATAATGTAACCTACCTCAGCCGCTGCCCAAGAGGCTGTAGAAACGACTGAGGTATTCCTATACTAAACTCCCTACTACTT